TTAGTTTATTAGTTATATATATATATATATATATATATATATATATATATATATATAAAGTGTATGTCAATTCGATCCTAACATGTTTCCATCGCGCCGTTCTGTTTCTTCGCGGAAGCCAAATCCCGACGAGCTCGAACGACACAACAATTTTGATGGCAACAGCGGGATTTCGAAGTGCATCATGCAAGAACTTTGCGCGTTCTTCTTTTAATAAGTTACAAGTGGATTGAACGTTACTGATACTTGAACGTTACTTGATTGACACAGAAGTGTCTCGGACGATTACTAATATTGGTTGTAACATATCTATAAAATGAGATATCTTAAGGAGTTCTCTTAATGGATGCCTCTGGAAAGTAATGATTAATGATAATTACTTTTTGAACAACATTTTCAAGATAAGTATATGTCCTTTTGAAGAAGTTTTTTTAAAGTTTTCATTCTGACAAGCGTGCTGTCCAGAAAATAATGACAAATCCTATTAAAATTATTTTAAAAATTATTTTAAAAAATTAATAATAACAGTTAAAGATTCTGTATAAAAATAGATGAAAAATATAAACAAAGAACTATTTGATTAAAAGATAGATAACAATGCTAAATGTATTTTAATAAGTATTTTAATAAATATTAACGTTTATAAAAATTCAATCGCGCAATGCAAATGTTTCGATCTTCAACATGATCATCTTCAGTGCGAAAATAATTAATAAAAACAAATATATTAAATATTTAATAAAACATTTTTCCTAATACATGTCAAATTCGATTAATAAAAATTCAAGATGTCTTACAACTGTCTAAGATCTAAAATTCATAGATGAGAAAGAAGTCATAAGACTCGGTCTCAAATCGAGTTGAAATAAAAAAAATTGTTTTTATTGGTTAGATCAGATATGATCATAAAAAATATATTTGATGAAATCAACCAATCAATTGAAAATAAATTATCTCAGAATGATATGCGTATAAAAGCTATTCATCGTGAGATTGACATGAATGTAAATGTGAAGAAACTATTTTAATTCGACAAAATCTTGAAATAGATATGTAAATTAATATTTCTTTTTCTACAGACAGAAAGTAAAAAAAAAGAAAGTAAAAATTTGCTTAAAAAATTTAAAGAAATTTGAACATCTCCTAATAAAAGAGACACAAAGAATTTTTTTATAACAAAATTAAATGAAAAGAATATTTAAATATGATGTGATAAACGAGCAAATGAATATTTAAAGAAAGCTTTTAAATAAATATCAACAATAATATAAATATAAATTATAATAATAACGCATATTTAAATTAATAATAAAGCAACAAATTTTTATATTATCTTATTTTGTTTTTATTTTTAATGAAATATATTGCATCATACTGGTAAAAATTTTTTATGCAAAAATATAAATATATATAATATATATAAATATATATAAATATATATAATATATAATATATAATAATATATAATATATAATAACATATATATTTATATATATTTATATATATTTATATATATTAATATATATATAATATATATAAATATATATAAATTTATATAATTGTATGCAAAATATGTTCATATATATCATATTAGTTTCTTTCTTTTATAAAACTTCTATTTGGTATAAGAAAAATAATAGTAGTAATGAAAAAACAAAAATAATTAAAAGAATAATTTTACATTGTTTTTTACAAAAAGTTAAATTTG